TTGAGCCATGTTTCCTATCATCATTGTTGACTGTCCCCATTTTATAGAATAATTTATCACTCTGTTGACTTTTCATTTAATCTCCTTTCACAACCAATCAGTCTGGAAACATCTGTCTAAAAAAAAACCTCCTCCAGCCTCTGGTAGATGTGATCTTTTCCATTCATTATCATGTTTTCCCTCATTTCTGTGATTACAAAACTCAGGGGTTTATTAGCACCACATGGTAAAGAAGATGCGAATCTAAATTTTTCAGATTCTTTTTATGAAATGCAACCCTGTTGAAAAAATCTGTTTCTGGATAGGATGGAGAGTGACAGCAGAAATGCAGACTTCTCACACGCGGAACAGAGCAGGCAAGTGCCAGGGCCGCCACACCACGCTGCAAAGCCAATACAACGTATACTGAAATAGTTTCACATAAACTCTGCTGGAATAAGGGGACTCACCAGAGCGTGTGAATAACTTACCAAATCAGGTAACTCTTCCTGGAGTCGAGTAGCTGCTTCCACAGCTGTGATGTGATATACGTACACAGCTTTCTATACGCAGCACTATGAGAGGCTGCTGTGATTTATTGGCACGCACTAATAAGTCTGTTTCTTTGCACACAGGACCATGCAGGGCGGTTAGAGAAGCCGTAAAATAATCCCATGCAAGGAGACCCCCTGCAGCAAATTGTCACGGCTCACGGGCCGGTTCCAGGTGACTCGCAGGTGCCCGGGAAAGCCCCCACACCACTGTGCAGGCAGCTCGTGGCTCTGGCAGAGGCCGTGGGGAGCTCGAGGCCAGGACCTGGCGGCACAGCTCCCGACACCGCCGCCAAGCGAACACGGCTGTCAGGGTGCAGGGACCCAGCCCTCAGAGACCGCGCTTCATTGACTCACAGCGGTAACGTTTTTCTCCTTAACATTTCCAGTAACATTGCAACACATTCCACAGCATGCTATTTAAGGTCATATCCTCTGCTGTTTGGTACTAAAACCTCCCAATTGTAATTTTCCACTGCTAAGAGCAAAGCTGTTCAGAAAAGGCTTTGATGCAGGCAGGGGAGAGGTTAGGAGCATGCAGATGTTTCAGTGTGGAAAGTATTATTTAAAACACACAGGTATCACTTTGTGATGGCGTGTACTAAGCAACACTCATGGGTAGGCTGGTATCTGAGCAGGACATTTTCAGCACCTAAAATGTGGTCAAGCTCAAAATGAATCAGAGCTTGGTTTTACAACCCTTTCCCACAGTTTGCTTCTGAGCAAAGAAATTTATCTCCAGTTGCATGCTATCCTTTTATGCCTGTCATATTTAGCTTGCCCCAAAACAAAAATCATCGATGAAAAGCAAACCCGCTGCAAGCCGCCTTGTTTGGCAAGCTTGACTACTTAAAAAGGAGGAAAATAAGAGTAGGCTGCCCCATTTTTTCTGTGGCTTTCCCCCCCTGCCCACGGCCAGGAGGGGCTGGGAGGCAGCGCCAGGCTCCTCGCTCCTCACCCCAGCCTCTGCTCGGGAGCCTCCATGTGTGCTGCCCATACGCACCTCCAGCATCTGCACGTGCCCAAAGCCTTTCCTCCCAGCCACTCGCGGCCTCACAGCTATTCCTGCTGTTAACCCTGCCTTGTGCCAGCCAAAGAAAGCCTTTCAGAAGCTCAGTCCGCACCCTCATCCTACGTTAGGTGTTGTAATGTAATTCCACGAGTTCCCTGGACAAACAGCAGACTACTGAATGCCAGGCACTGCTCGTTTCAGCTTAGCCGTTTAGAAAAAATATCGTGTAGCCACAGCCACCAACCTCTGCAGAGAAATTCGGTTCTGGAAGGCAGACAGGGGACATTCACGGTGCTTGGTTATTTCGTGCTTTGTTCCTTCCCTCGGCCCCAAAGCAATCTTCTGCCTGAGCACCTCTGGCTTGAACATCGCTTCTGACAGCAAGTGTCCGCTCTTCAGGAAAAGTTTGCACTACCCACCAAGCTTTAATTTCTGGCATTATATAAAGCTGACTTTCCAATGTTAGGGAGATGAAATGTATATTTCTGACTCCGTTTTGCAAAAGATAAAGAGCTAATAGCATGCATGACATGACAAAACCTCAAAGTTCAAGCTAGCCTCCTAGTCAGACATTATTAATAGTAAATGCATATCAGGTGGTTTCGTGATGACCTTGAGAGCAAGTAAGAAATCTTGTCTACCAGGTCACAGTTCCCCAGGCATTTTAGAAAAGGAAATCCTTACTTTTATTAACTGTTTTTTGGAAAATAAAATTAAAAAAAAAAAGCATTGTTCTGTGCACACAAAATTTTATCCAGTGTCAGAAAATGACTTACACAAAAAAGCCCGCTCATCTTGGTGTTTTACCTGTAAGTACTATATTTACTACGGACAAATGAAGAAGAAATAAAATTCAGCTTCAACCTCATTTCAATTTGCAAGTTATGAAAAATGTTTCTAGAAGGGAGCTAATAAATATGATGGATGTGCTCAGCGGTAATTGATCATTTATTTTAAAAAAATCCTGGCAAACATTTAATTCTACTATTCATTAAAATGTTGCCCTTGTGAGATGTAATCCATAAAAATGATCTATCTCGTAACTATGATGTCAGTGAACTAAGACAGAGGGCGAAGGTAAACTAGGATTCCTAAGAGGAAAATTACAAATGCTAATTCTCTTGCAGGTTAATGCAAGTGGTCCGTGCATCCATTCAGCCCCTCTATGATATATGATGACTACCCTTTCTCCCGCTTGTTTGGAGCACATTATTTTTAAATGCTCCTGCACCATTTCAGTTCTGGTGCTGGGAAGAGCAAAGCCAAGTGCTGGGAACGTGCTTTCCCTGTGGGGCTGCTCGGCTCCATTGCAGCAGGTCCTGCTGCAGTTCTCAGCTCGGCCCCAAGCCCCCCTGGCCTTCGCCCCAGCTCTGTGTGACCCAGGTGCCCCAAATCTCTGGCTCCCTGGCTCGCCAAGTCCCTCCCCTGCTGGCAGGGAAGGGGCATTTGGTCACACAGGTCCTTCTGGGCTTGGTGCCAGAGAGACCCTGCAGAGCCCAGGCTGGGGAGCACTCCACCAAGCTGCTCCGAAGGGCTTGGAGGTGGCCGCAGGGTGACAGGTCTGGCAAAGCGAGGTGCTGCTCACACCGGGAAGGAGCAGCACGGGTGGCACAGGTACTGCGAGCAGCACTCGGGGCAAGGCTCTGGCCAGCACACAGCCATATGGTCCCCAGGCGATGCTGGGGCTGCTCTGCTGGGCTGTTCACAATGCCTGGCCGGGGGGGCTGGTCTGGGATTTCTTCCTCCTAGGGGAGGGAGGAGAGGAGCACAGAACGGCCGTGTGTGCAGGACGCTTGTGCCATTAAAGAGAAAGCCCAGGCTGTGGTGGGCCTCTCTCTAAGTGTTGAGCACGTTCCCAATCACACCCACTGCTACCTTTTAAGCATCACAAGCAGAGCACAGTTTTTGTCAATTTTTCCCGTTGTTTTGAAATTGCAGCTGCCTCAGGCATCTGGCAGATTCGGAGTGCAGTAATAGGAACTGGAGCAGAAAGCAAAGCCAGAACCCACCAGTAAACTACAGCTGGAGTAGATGGTGCAAGGCAGCTGGTCAGAAAGTGTTTTTACTCTCTTAGGAAATGCTGCGGGGTGTTCATTGATTCCTGATTTTGGATGAAGAACAAACACAATCATCAAAACTGCCCTTTCTGCAATATTTTTCCCCCCAGCGGAATAAGATAGTGAAATGTAGACGAACAGCTCAATTGCTGAAATTAAAGTGGAGATTAAACCCAGTAGCAAGGCTGCCTGGGATTTCCAAAAGCAGCTGGTTCGGGCCTGGGGTAATACAGGCAATGGGTGTGTGACTGCAGCCTGGTAAAGCAGCCACCCCTCCGCCCCCCCGTGCCGCCTGGCAGCTGGGCCCGCGTGCACGCAGGGCCCACAGACGCCACCCGGACAGCCTGCCCCAGGGCTGTGCACCACTTTTGCATATTTAGAATATTGAGATGATTTCACATCCCTGTGCAGTTTCCACGTTTAGTCTCATTTCTGGGCTAACACCCGCAGCGAGCTAGCAGCCTCCCCGCCACCCCACGGAGGCAGAACTGAGAGGTGGGGCTGGGAGTCCCCCCAGGCAGGGAGCTCTGCGGGGCACCCCGCACTTCTGACATGGCTGTGGGGTTGGCACCTGGGGCACGGGGCCCAGACAGTGAGGGCACAGAGCCGGTGGCCCCCGTCGGGTCCGGCCACCCCGGTGGAGCTGTGGGTGGGCGAGGCGGTGGGAGCCGGGCGGCTGCCAGACCCGCGGGAGCCTCGGGGTGCGTCAGAACACGGCACGCACATGGGCACCCGGGGTCTGCTGCCGGTTACGTAAATCAAAACCCTCATTAAAATGAGCAAGCGAGACATTTCCATCTAATTCTAATTAGTTTGAGTGACAGGGAAAAAAATAATAGCAATTAAGAACTAATTGAACAGTCGCCCTATTTTAGGAGGTGGTGATCTGTTTTTGAGCAGATAAACAATAAAGGCGAGGAGCTGATCCTCGCGGAGGAACCACAGTGCATTTGGGAGAGATGCAGTACCTGCGCTTCAGCATCTTACGCAAAAATAAGCAAAAGCCTGCTTTAAGCCTGCTTTAAAGTTTGGTTTAGAAAATGTGACAGAAACCCAAGTGCAGGCCTAATTAAGGACCAACATGTGTTAGAGCAGCACGTGGCTTTTCAGTGCCTGTGTTGGACAAGAAATGCAGACTCCCTCGTGCCCACATCACCTCTGCAGCATGCAGACCCCATCCCCTTCACTGGGCACCCATGCACAGCACAGCACAGAACTGCACTGCACTGTACTGTACTGCACAGCACAGCACTGCACAGCACAGCCCCTGCCAAGCCCACAGCTGCCCCCCATTAGCCCACAGCTGCCCCCCATTAGCCCACAGCTGCCCCCCGTTAACCAGTAGCAAGGGCCTCAGCTTGCCAGAGGGCCATAAAAGCAGCCCCACAAGCACTGCCCTCAAGGCTGCAGGGGAGACTCTGCTTTCAGGTGGGCAGTTTCAGGTAGGTTTGGCTTTTTTTTTTTTTTGTATCAACCAGCTCGTGATGGACAGAAGAGCTGGTGATGGAGGTGTGTAACTCTATGGAGAGCAAAGTTTTTGCTTGTCCCCTGCTGTGTGAGCTGCAGACCGGGGTCCCCTGGGCGCAGGGCGTCCTGCAGCGCCTCAGTTCCCCGCGGGGCAGCAGCGGCTCAAGGCAGGGCTGGGGGCGCCCGGGGCAGGGCTGGGGGCGCCCGGGGCAGGGCTGGGGGCGCCCGGGGCAGGGCTGGGGGCGCCCGGGGCAGGGCTGGGGGCGCCCGGGGCAGGGCTGGGGGCGCCCGGGGCAGGGCTGGGGGCGCCCGGGGCAGGGCTGGGGGCGCCCGGGGCAGGGCAGCCGCCGAGGGGCCGCGGGCTGCGGCCGCGCTCCAGAGCCCCCCGCGGCCTGCAGGGGGCGCTGCCGGCGAGGGAAACCCGCCCGGGGCGGTGCGAGGGGCGCGGATCGGGGGGCGGGGGGCCGGGGGGTGCGGGGGTCCTGCCTGCAGGAGCCGGGCCCTCGTCCTGCAGCGGTCAGCTCCCGCAGCCCGTGGGCACCTGGTGCTGTGAGCCTACCCGGTTCTGCCGTGTGCCGTCCTGCGCTTCCCATGGGGGTGTTTTGCACTATGCAAAACCAAAACGCCTCAACCTGCCCCGGTGGTGGTGTGGTAGGGGGGCTTTCGGGTGCTGGTGCTCTATGTGTGCTGCTTGCGTTTTGGAAATTCATTGCAAAGGTGACAAGGCGGTGACTTCTGCCGTCCCTGAAGTGTTTGCCCACACCTGGTGACTTAGCTAACTGAAATGAGCCCTGCAAAAGCTCTTTAAACAGTGCTGTCATCAATAATCCTACAGAGCTGCAGAGCAGCGGCAGATGAAATAGAAGGGAACAGAAGGTGGCTAGTCAAGCACTACAAAACCAGCACCAGAGTCAGTCCCTTGCAGGGCACCCAGACAGCCACCTCCCTCCCAGGGCATGGGCTGCCCTGCCCTGTAACATCCTCCTCCGTGCTCCTGGCTCTGAGGCTCCTGGCTTTGTTCAAGCCTCTTGCAAATTTGTAAACTTAAATTAGCATTTGGGAACTTGCTGCTTTGCATTCTCAAATCCCGGGGCAGCAAACTTGTTTTTTTAATCTGAGCTGGACAGAGCTGAGTGTGTGCAATGTGTGGGTATTGCCTGGCACGTTGGACCCTGCTGCCTCACCAAGGAGGTAAATGCATCACTGCAAAATGAGTCTTTGTCCTTGTTTCCCAGTCTCCATTCCTTATGGTCACTTTTTGCAGTATACCTGTGTCAAATGATGGTTTTCCCATATGCTGCATCTTCCCAGGGAAGCACGCCTTGTCAGCTGTGGGAGTGGGGTTTGTGTGACTGGGGCTTTCGTCACAGCAGGTTCTCCCATGTGGGCACTAATCACAAATGGTGGCTGCCCTCTGTTAGGAGGTCTCAATAGGTTTTTTTTTCCATGTAAGAAGGAAGACAGGTCCAGGCACTACAGTGGCCTCTATATGTGTGTCAGCGTGACCCCAGGGTGCGTTTAATTCCTGTTTTATCTGTAGCTTACAAAGGCATTGTTTCGAGAGAAGAGAGGAGTGAGAGGCTGGACATGGCAGGAAGGTTCACGATCATTGCAGGATTTCAGGCCGCACGGGAGAGTTAATTAGCTCAGATCACTGTGCAGAAATGTCCTGCAGAGTATTGATTTCAATAAGTTTTTGCTCAATTAGTGTCTCACTCGGGGAGGATGCCATTACCCTCCCACCTCGCGGGGCACCAGCAGCCTGCCTCCCAGACAGGGGTGCTGTCACACACATTTGTCTCCCTGTGCCCCCAGGGCCCCTGGGCTGTCCCAGGCGGAGGTGCTGGGGGTGCTTTTCTCATTTTTATGCACAAAGCTCCTCTGTCCCCCTTTTCTCCAGCACTCCCCCTTTTCTGTGGCCGTGCTGTTCACAGAGGTGGCTGCTGCATCCATGGTCCCCCCAGGTGTCTGGGCCCCAAGGAGCTGAGCGTGGCCGGGGCTGGTGCTGGCTGTGGGGAGCTCCTCACGTGGGAGCAGCCGGGTGCTCTGCCAGCGTGCCTGGAACTCCCCATCCCTTAAAAGGATTTTCCAAAGTCTTTTCGTGCTGTGCTTACTGCTGTCCTGCTCAAGCGCCCCTGGGATGGAGGGGTGCTGCAGGTCCCTGCACCTCTGGTGAGCATCCCCAGCAGCTGCAGCACCGACACTGGCTGTGGCCCAGCGCCTTCAGCGGGGGGATTTCTCAGCACGGGACTCCTCCACGTGCTGCACTGAGGAGGGGAGGTGGGAAGTCACTGTGGGAAGCTTCAGGGCTCTGCTATGAATACATTTTCACTTTCTGCCTTGCTGTGAGGCAGCCAGCGACCTGCCCACAGGAGCGCTGCCCAGGTGTGAAGCCTTCACGCAGGAACAGTCTTGCCCCCAGGGCTGCTCCACTAGGAATGTGCTGTGTGAAGGAACGACTTACGGGGCTAGGAGAAACTGTAATGAGCAGGAAGGCCAGGTAATGCCCGAGCAGGCTGCTGGACTCAGAAAATGTCAGCTAAATGGGGGAGCTGAGATACGGCACTCACAGGGAGCGGGCTTCAAATAAAAGCTTTCAAGCTGAAGTAGGCAGAACCTAGGCAACCCCTGGAGAGCCCCGGGGCTTCAGGAATTCACAGGAAAAGACATCTGCTACCAGAAGTTCGCAGCCTCTATGTTCTCAGATGCTGGTTTGGCCAGCCTGTCAGTTACAATACTCCCACACCGCCTCGTCCTTGGCTGCTCACCGCTGCCCCTTGACTCATGACAATACAACTGTTCTGCCAGTTGCACTTGAATAACTCAGCCTGAAGGAGGAAAAAAAAAAAGCTGGGTTATTGCTGGGTTTTGTAATTCAGCTGGAGCTGCTCCCTGCTCTTGCTCAGTGCGCAGCCCTGGGAGCAGAGGCTGCGGGGATGGGGACAGCGAGGTGCTCCCAGCAGGATGAACGGGGCAGCAGAGGGGAGCTGGGCAGGGCTGAGGCAGGCAGAGGGGCGCAGGGTGCCTGGTTCAGCTGTGCTGGCACAGAGGGATGGAGCTGCGGCAGAGGGCGAGGTGGGAAATGTCTGAGCAGGCAAACCTGATCTGGCATGCAGCTCTGCTTTAATTCCTGAACGAGTGAAAGGGCAGGCTTATTTTAACAAAATTCATTTTTTCCTTGGTTAAATTGTTATTTCAGGGCTTTATGAAAAACAAATATGAATATCCGGTTGGAGCCACTGTTTATGTCATTATGCAACTGTATTATGGAGCCCTGTTACACAGATTTCATGTTTTGTGTTTTTTTTTTTTTGAATAAATCCTTTCATACATAGACTTAAATTCCTGAGAAGTGTATTTGTTTGAAGTCATAGAATTTTCTAGAAAAACTCAAGTCAATTATGTGGATTAAGTGAATTATAATCCTGAATGACTACATGAGAACAAAGGGTGTAAAAGACCTCTGAAGAAAGCTTATTTGCTGGGGCATTTCAGGCTGAGGTTGCAATGGAAGCTGACCTAATTAGACAATTTATAGGTATTTAGTCACCTAATTTAAAATGGCTGCACTGTAGGTGCCAAAAAATCCCATTTTACCTTCTCTCTGCCAAGTTTGTTTGCAAATTTATTATGTTTTTAAACAATACTGGAGCAGCATTCTGGTTTTATTTTTCAAGGCTTGCATTTTAAAGTTGTCATCAGTGCATTCAAACAGGTGAATTATGGCCTCATTTTGGGTAGCAGAGCAGTTTAGAAAGTCAGCTGCTGTGACTCACCTCTGCTTCAAGTGAAGCATCCTGGCAAACAAGCTGTTCCAGTGGGCTTCTGTGATTTACCCTGCGATTCACGAGATGGAGATTGGGGGTGCTGCCTAGGCACCATTGCGAGTCCTGTGCTTCGTGATGAGCATGAAACCAAGGCAGCACAATGTGGATTCTGTTGTGACAAACTGATCCCATCAGAAATGGAGATTATTCAGTGGCTCCCCAATGAGTAACAGGTTTTGCATTGCTTTTGTCTGATGTTTGGTAACCTGGGTGCTCTTTAGGGTTCTTTTGGTTCTGCCATGGTTACAAGACTCTTTGAAAATGTATTTAATGTCTAAATATTTGTGTTCACCAGCAGGACATGGTAGACTGCAGGACTGTTGAAAATAAAGGCTAATCTGGCTTTAGTTTGGCCATGAAACTGCAGCTCAGTAGCATTTGCACCACAAAGGTGCTCTTCAGATAAAATAAAAAAATATATAAAATCCTGGTATTTACAAGGCTATAGCTGAGCTGCATCATCTGTGCTGAGAAGAACCGTGTTTGTGGAGAGGCAGGAAGTCAGCCTGTCCTGCCGGCACTGAGCACAAGCAGTGAATCACTGTGCTGCGTGCCCCTGGCTGGTGAGATCAAGTTGTTTTGCAATGCAGTATCTCTTGTGTGGTGTGAGAGCAAAGAAGTGTCCTCTTCCCAGAGCTGCAAGGATCTGTTCCTGTTTCAGATCCCCGCACCTATGGCTTGAGGCACAGCTGCTGTTCTGGAGGGAGAGCGCTGCCTCCAGACTCGTGTCCAGCATGAGCTGTGTAAGGATGGGCGCAGTCCCAGCACGGAGCAGGATGCCTGGTGCTGGGCCAGAGCCTCTCCCTCCAGGATGAGCAGTCTGGGTGCCATGTCTCTAAGAAGGAGTTTATGAAATGCTTTGGGCAGCTGGGGTGGGTGGTCAGTCACCCAAAGGGCTGGCTCTGCCTTCTGTTTCAACTTTTGCTGGTTTCAGCACCTGCCCACTTGATGCCACATGCAAGGCTAATGCTCTCTGCCATCTGATGCACATGCCTTGTGTAAACACCTGTAGACTGTGGCTACATTACCCCACAGGCTCCTTTCCCAGCTCTGTAACTGGTCCATGGTGTTGTTTCGATGCCCCTTCACCTCTTGTTGCCTCTGGTTTGTTGCTAGGTTCAAGGGGAGTAAGCTTGGAAGTCACACTG